ATGATTTAATTTATTAGATTTGCGACCTTAGTAGTCAGTTCAACTGAGTGAGTGAAAATCAAAATCAAGATTGATTTGAATGTTATGCAACAGAACAAAACACAACACAAAAGCACACGAACAAAACAATTATGGTTATCAGGGTAGTGAGAGATTAGTCACACTCCCTTTCTGTATGCATAGGTTTGGTCGAAGTCTTTTGATGCCAGTGGCTTCTACGGACCGAAGTAACCATGCTTTTCTTTGTTTATCGAGGATTTTGAAAGCCTGACTAATTTCCATTGTATGTCCCGTGTCATTTAGGTGTGTCTGGCGATGTTTTGTTAGTGTAGGTTCTCATCTTGCAACAAGTAGTTCGTAGACTTAATTTTCTTCCTATAGCTGAAAGCTGTTCTCAGTTATCCAGATATATTCACACTCCTTTTGGCCTTCCTGACTTGTTAGTTCATTATTGTTCTTTATGGGATCATTCTTTCTACAGATTATTTGCCTGGTGATTTTATGAGGAGTGGAAAGCTGGGCTGTTGCACTTCCATGTAAAGGTGTATGTTGAGTATTAAGTTAATTTTAGTTTGTCGTGTTTGAAATTTGGACAGGTAGTCATATGGCAGGCATTTCCTATCGCATAGTGAGTAATTCCCTTGACATACAACATAAACTTGTATTCCGTAGTTTATTCAGTAGTACATGCTGACTGAGGATTATCGTGAATCCACTGTGTACACATATCTCAGAGTAGAAAGTAATTAAGGAGGTTAACTTTCCCTCTTCACATAATCTTGTTCATTTCACCCTTGGATGCCCAACCTATCACTTCCCATTCCGGTTCCACTCAAGAGTCTGTTTGGAGTGTGATGTCACATCAATGTCTTCATTACTAAGCAATAAGCTCTTGGCTTTTCTGACGCTCATAAAATTGCTATTGTACAACCTGTAACCAGTGGAATTGTGGACAGATATATATTCGCTAGATTTACTATTGTCTTTATTGTATGATGTACTTTTGAGGTTTTGTATCTAAAATTAACCACTTGTTGAAATAATAGACAAGCTGTTTAGCTGTTTATTTTAAAATGCTTAAATGTAGTTCTTAGTATTTACTGATGATACGCTCATTGATGATGAAGATGAGGCATTGAGAGTAGAAGTCGTATGTGTGTACTCATCATTGTTTGAACTCAGTTACCCAGGACTGATTTCTCATGTAGCAGACCCTGAGTCACACTTATCACGTGATGTTTGATGATACTGTCAAGTTGTTGAGGCTGCACTAGATGTAGCAGTGATATGCAAACTTGAGACCCATTGGTTAAAAGTCGAATGCTTAAGCAAATGAGTCACTTCTCCGCCTACTCATCATTGCATCATGTTGGTTCAAGTTGTGACACCTTAATTCTGCACAGGAATTATTGAATATTACGATTATTATTTTATTTTATTCAAACACAAACTTGATACATTGTGGGCACACAAAGTCGGGTCATTTGTTCGAGGGTTGAAATACTGCCCGGACGCCTAGACCTAAGCAGGTGGTTGTCTTAAGTGACCACCTCCCGGAAGCGTTTGACTTGATATCAGATCCACAAAGAAGGGTAGAAGCATCACGAACTGTGTTGCTGTGGTTCCCAATGACCCAAACAGCTTCATACGCCAGTCGATCCATTCGGATTCTGGAGGCAAGGTTTTCCAGCCCCTTCCCCTCCTCCTAGGTAGACTAGCACCTTCACCAGTCCTGTTGTAAACGTCACACCTATTTGAGTTCGTCCTTCCACTTTTGTGAAGAACACCCTCACTGTGTTAAGGCGGTGATTAGGACTTACCTGGAAGAGGTAGGCTATGGACATGTGGCCACATGAGAGCATCTTGGCTAGGAAGATGGAACTCTACCAACCTTCAGCCCTATCAGGTCGGTTATGTGGGCTACATACGCATGAAGTAGAAGGTAAGAAGAAATAAAGACAAAGAGATGAGAATCGTGCTGTCACACGGGAAGAATAAATCTAATGAAGAAATACTACGTTTGAATACATCTCCATTGAAATAAGTTTTCAGCCATGTTTCTGATATTCTTTAATCGTACGTTTCGCAGCCTGACAACATAATCAGTTCAAAATTAATAGACAATCATCTCTCGTGAATATCATTCTTCACCTTTATGCATTTTTAAAAAATCTTATGTGCTGATTAGCAATTTTCACTTATGTGTGGATTATTCATACAGATGTAGACTAATTTGTTTACCTTTCAACTGTATATCGTGTGATTTTAGCATGAAAAATGTTTTTATCTTACCAAAAATATTAGAATCATTAATGTTTACAAGAATTTATAAGTTTGTGGATGTCTCTGTGTGCGTTTGGTCAGGCTAATATTAATAGATATGTAGGCCTAGAGTTATGTTACGATTTCTGATTCAGATGGTTATTCATAGTTGTGTGTAGGGAAGCCTACACCTAAAGAATGTAATACAACATAGTACTGAAAACGGTAGAAGACAAAGACGTGGTAAAGAAGGAACGTTTATTTAGAAATTGGTATCTCTATATAGGCAAATTATGCACATCTTATCTTCCACTCACTACTTGCACAGAACTTCGTGTTGTGGTGTAACAACAGAAAACAAGGGCCAGGCAACAGATCGTTTTATTATGAAAATCAACACGTATTTATATATATTTCACATACATTATTGTAGCTGATGCAAGTAGACAAGCGCAGTCATCTGATTGGTTGCTTATCAGAAGTTAAGCAAACAAACGCAGGCTTCTGATTGGTTGTTTCGGGATTCCTCGAAAAATAGAGTTCTCTATCTGCGAATCATATTTTGCCACGTTAAGTCTGCTGTGATTGGTTGTCAAATCAGCCTTGTACATATTTTCTCACGGCCTGCTCTCACCACAGTGGTACTTCTGGACTTCATGTTGTGGCTCTTTGTGTTCCTTTCATTTCTCCAACGCATCTCCACAAGGCTTTATCATTTACCTTATCTGAAATCAAATGTATTTCCCTGCTATTTGATGTTTTTATGCCGATGAACGTCTCTTTATATACTACTTAGTGGAACATAGGGTTGGTTTCGGCGGCGTATTTTCATTCCTCTCGATTCTTTGCTATCACTTTCAGCGTGATTCACAACTGCCCACTAGCTTTCATTCTCTCCTCACATGATCTCACTGATATCACTCTTGAATGCTCAACTCGTTGCTTCCCATTCGGATTCCACTCGGCAGTCGGGGATATGGTGCCGCCTGATGGTCTCATCAGAGTATTTGCTAACCATAGGTTTGTTGGGAACTAGTTTCTTGGCTGGTTCATTGTCAAAGTTCCTTGTTACGTGTGCCTCCTGGCTGACCAACTGGACTTTACTAACAAGCCGGCTATGGCAACTGCCAGTGAAAGTCTATGGTCTGTTGCAGATGACGTTGGTAACGCGCCCATTAATTCTGTGAATCATTAGAAAAGCGCTGATTTGTCATTAGTGTTAAATAAAATTCGTATGTTGTTTTCTTGTGCTAAGTACTGTGGATCTCCACACCGATTTCAGAGTAAAGAATACCTGAGTAAATTTAAATCTTTATCCTCATTGAAATATAACAGTAAAATAAGGAATAAAAGCTTTAAGACAGTTTACCTACATTCAGTCAGTTATAGGTTCTGTTTTCAATCGATTGTGTAAATATGTAGGAAACAAGCTGGCGTTATTAATTTTAATAGGACATCGAGCTTACTGTCTGATGTGTGTGTGTGTGTGTATTTAGAGGAACTTCAACCTTCAGTCATAGTTAATTAATTTTTCATTTTTCAGGTGTTGGTGTGCACGGATTTGATTGGTTACATGTTTGATCGTGGGCCGAGATCAATGAGAGATCCAATGGAAGACCAGGGAGTACTAGATAGCTCTTTCGTCCTAGTTTGGGACCTTGTGGTTGCAAGGTGAACTCATAGACCATTCAGTCACTGGGACCTGGTCCAGTGGCCCATGAATCCCATTTTATATCAATTCACGATACATACATAGTAACTGTCATCTTGGTGTACTCCTCTGGCTACGACTTTTTGTCGTTTTAGTTAGTTATTTGGAACTAACTTTTCATATGGCGCTGGCAAGCTATGTCACACTTGTTATGTAAAGACTGGCAATACTATCCAGTTTTTCAGGTTGGAGTAGATGAAACAAAACTCAAACCTAAGATTAATTAACTGGACGTTGAGTTCTTAAGTGTCAACTACAGGAGGAACGGACGAGGATGTCAAATCGAGCGAGAATCGGGAAGGTGAGAAACACATTCATCAACCTGAAACCAATCTGGAAATCTTCGTCACTCAGCATCAAAAACGAAATTCGGTCGGATTTTCAATACAAACATCAAGTCAGTTCTTCTATGAGGATCAGAAACTTGGCGGGCGGGTCACAAAGAATATATGGCAGACCTACTTTTATCAACAACAACTGTCTTCGCTCTCTACTGAAGATCAGATGGCCGGGCCGGAAAGAATCATCAAGAAGAAACTATAGGCACAAACAAACAAAACAAGAAGCAATCTCCCAACAAATATGCAGGAGAAAGTGGAGATGGATTGGACACTCGCTGTAGAGGCCGCTGGATGACATCGGGCGTCAGGCCATCGCTCGAGTGGAACCCGAAAGGGAGGCGGCAAGTGGGTGGTCGGTGCAAGGGTGACATGGAAGAGATGGTGTGAAGAGGAGTTGAAGTGGTTTGGACTAACATGGATGCATGTGAAAAGTACAGCAGAAGCAAGTGGAAACGTTCAGTTGAAGCCCTATGTTCCACTAAGAACCCAAGGGAACAATATTAATAATATAAGTACTTAAATCATTGAGCCATATATGTAGTTAAAGAAATATGTAATGCCGTTTTTGAAGTTGGCTTCTATTATGACTACTGTCAAGTTCTTCTGATTTGCATATAATTCTGTTTCATAACTTAATTGTAAGTCTCCTTGTTTTGATTTTGTTTTCATTTTTCGTTTTACAATAGGTCTGATGATCTACAATCTAAGGCTGGAAGTGATGCTGTTCAGTACTTGAGATTTCATATGTACTTGATTATTTATACTGCAATAACTACAGTTTTATGCTTAGTGGTCATTCTCCCGGTAAATATACACGGTACACTAAAATGTAAGTACTGTAGTTTTTCTATGACTAAATTTAGTAATTTAATCCTCTTTTTGTTCATATTATATGATGTATAGAGCAGTGTAGAGCACTCAATCTGTTTAACATGGGATGCCTTATCAATCACAATAGGCTGTTTGAATGAGTTAACTGTTCAATATATATTAATCCGTCAAATGACTTTTATGCCTACTGGGTTTCTATTTAACTCAGCTAAACTGAGCTAAGCTAATGGACTGTTAAAGGTAATAAACAGACGGTAAAACTCTATGGTTGGAAACAATTGGTGACATGGCTCAAAATCGTTCTCAGTGGCGCAGATGCATCCACTCCTTGTGACTTATGATCTCCAATGAAACTGTTTTGTTCTTCGTTATTACTCCTTTGTCTCACCCCTCTGCTCACTGTTTCTATTATGCTTTTTTTGTACCTTCTTCTTCGCGTGCTACACGGAGTGTGGCGACTTGAACTTCCGCACATTTGTGCAAAGTTCTATGTCGAAAACAGACAGACAGACAAAGGTAATAAACAACAGATAGCTATTTCATCCTACTCTGCATCAACGATATTTCAGGGGATGAGTTTTATGACTGTCAGGTGTTGCGTTGAATACTACACCATTTATCGGATGAATTTGGAATCCGTTAGCGTAGCGGTGGAGTCCACTTTGAAGTCGATCGAGTTACTGCTAACTTAAGGGAAGAATATTTGTTAGCTGTGTATCAGTTGATAGCAGAAGGATAGATTTCTTGAAATTCCTTTGAGAATCATCATAACCGATGACGTCATCCAATTTGGCTGTAAGAATAGATACTCATTGATTATAGTAAGTGATAGTTGCGCTGTGCCGCGACTTTGCAGAAGGTGGGAGTAAAAGACCTTAGGATTCTGCCCAAGCAATGGTTTGGTGGCAATCTGCTATTCTCTAAAACTGACAATTCCAAGCTATCGTAAGTGAAAGACCTAAAGAGGTTAGCTGACCTTGATCTATTTTGCGTGTTTTTGTGGTATATTATGGTGGGTAATACGGAGGTTAGACATAGAGTGTTAGGTAAGAAGGGTGAATAAATTGATGAGGTTTTGAAAGAGTATCGATTCAGATAACTGAGGCAATCGTTACACATGCCAAGCCACTGCCTCTTTCGCCAGGCAATGTTATCTAGCATAGGGTTAGGTTGGAAAGGAGTTAGGGGTGGTCAAATCAAAACCTGACACCAATCCATGATATCTTTGACTGTTAACTTAAGCCAGGCACGTAGGAAGATGGAGGTTGCCTGGTTGGGGTCGTCGGGATGCTAAGAACCAGTGGCTAATGTGGACTACTGGCGATATGGCTGAAAATTGTTCTCAGTGGTGCAGGTACAGTCAGGGTTGACTAATTGTTGGGAGTTTTTTTGTGTGTTTTTACCACTGTTTGACCATAATGAAACTTAGTTTTTGATGGTTTCTATATCTCGTAAGATAGTCATTACGTTAAAATCCTGTTGCACTCTTAATATGCTGATGTGTCTCATCTTTTACGGGGACCAGTGTTGTTGTTAGTAGTAAAGAAGTTACGTCCACCTTAACTCTACTGGTATATAATCTGCTGCTAATACTACCTTAAATTAGGAGCTTGAAACACTTTAGTTGAAGGTCGAGTGACTGAGCCTGTGCAGCTTTTATCTTCCTTTCTATTACCTTAGCATATTTTCACATACTACAGGTATAGACCATATACAGCATCTGTAAGATGGTATAAGTGAAGTAAATCATATTTTTATTCGGTTTAGGTTGTAGTGTGAGATGAGCGTTTCGCCTTTTTTCTAACCTCGTCATCCTAATGTACCCAAATTAGAGATTTTTAAGTGATGGGTGTTGGTTTCGAGTCATATTAAGAAAACAGTCACTCACTAGTAGAGGTACAATGAGATGATGAGTACCAAGTGTAAGACGAAACACACATTCTAGATTCCACTGATAGTCGCCTTTAACTGCATTGTGCGAGAAGAGAGTGGTATAGGTTGGACCAACAAGAGGAATCTAGACGATTTGGATTTACTGGACGGTTTAAGTTTAATTGCTCAGAGAATCGAAAATATGTAGGTGAAAACCGACAAGTTGACATAAGAGACAAACAGCGAAGACAGGACTTCAAATGAATATCTAAATGAGCCAGCTAAAAAAGACTGCGGAGAAATAGATGAAATTGAGATGTGCTGCTGAGTTGTATGTTCAACTAGGAACTCAAGGTAATAATAATGCTGTTAGGAACTGTCAGGGCACCGGTATGAAGAGCCGACATATCAACAGAGACTGAACATGTCAGTGTAATGAAATCAACTAGTTGTTATTATTATTCCCTTGGTTTGCGAGTGGAAAATAAGGCTTCAACGATGTATCTCCACTTTCTTCTATTCTCTGCCGTCCTCTTCAGCTGAACCCATGATTGCCCAAACTCTCTCATCTCCTCCATGTCACCAGTCGACCAGTCGGTCGTCATAAGATGATTCCTCTTGAGTTATGGCCTGGCGCGAGATGTCATTCGATGGTTTCCTTAATGTATGCCCGATCCATCCCCATTTTCTCCTGCATATTTGTTGAGTGATCGGGTCTTTCTTGGTTGGTGTATTCCCAGACAGAATTTCTTGTTGGTAATTCTTTTGGGCTGGCCGGCCATTTGATCTTCAGTATGGAGCCAACCAGCGAAGTTTACAGCTGTTGATAAAAGTATGTAACCTGTTGGAAATAATTTTTATGACATGCAGTGCAAGTTACTGACCCGTATAGAACACTTGACTGACTGACTGACTTCACAATTGTGTTGAAAATGCGAATCTTGTTGTTTATGCTGGTTGAGTGCAGAAGATTTCCAAACTGGTTTCAGGTTGGTGAAGGCGTATCTGGTGTTTCCGATTATGGTTGGCTTTTACACCTTCATCCGTTCCTCTTATAGTTGAATAGATGCTTTCTAGATAAGTGAAGGAAATAACCTGTGTCAATTCTGTCCTGTTGATGGTGATCGGTGCTGGTTGTTGTTGCTTGCGATGGCTGTTTGTCTTCATCACCTCTATTTTTTCTATGTTCATATGGAGTCCTGTATTCTCTGGCTGCTTCTTCAACCAGTTTGTTTGTTTTCTCTTGTGAGTCTCTAGGTTTGTTAGACATTAGACACAAATCATCTGCTAAATCCAGATCTTCTAGAGTCATCTTATTCTTGTTCCAGCATATTCATCTCTCCTCGCTCCCCACGTACAGTCTGATGCATCATCCTCTCCACCACAATTAAGAAAAGCATCGGTGATAGTAGGCAGCCAGACGTGTCTCACTCCTGTGTGTACTTCGAACGCCTCGCGCTGAGTTTTCGTTATGGATCACCTAACACGTGGCATTGTCATATAGCTGTTGAATGAGGCTGAGAAAGACTTTGGCACTGCCCGCCGTAGTGTTGATTTTTGAAATCAACTGGCGGAAAACTGCAGATAATAATTTTAAAAAATAAACCATGATGTTTGAAAAAATCTAATAAGAGTGAAAGAACAACATTGGAACAGAATAACATAGATCCATTTTATTTCATAGTTTCTCTTCAGCCACATACAACTTGTAATAATTTAATAAAATTAGTTATAATATAATCTTAGCATACTTTTACTAATCAATTCTACCGTGACCTGAGTTTCTAATTCAGTTTGTTTGGTGACCTTGGTAAATGAGACCATACTACTGGATCATGACTTTTTCAGATAGTCTGATCAGTTACTACTCACTTGGTGTAGTTACTTAATTAAGCATGACTACTACTAATGTTTGTAATGAGAAGACTCTGTTTAATTGCTTTTGTGTTCCTGGTGGACGAACACCTTTGTAATTTAGGAATAGTTTTTCATAAACATAATAAACTAAGACATTTTCATTGTTACATTCTAAGGAGTGTGTTCCGAGTGGAACGTGTGGCTCTAACGGCACATCTCCATTTTCCTCTCTTCACTGCAGTATTCTTTGGCCGACTGCACAATTGCGCATAAATTTTCCTCTGCTCCTCACGCGATCTACTCATGTTACCATCAGATCACGCCCAACTTGTCGTTTATCATTTAGATTCCACTTGAGGGTGGGACACATGGTGTCACTCAACCGTCTCCTCAGCATATGTTCGACCTATCACCATTTCTTATATTCACTGGGTGATAGGCTCTTAGGTGGTTGGTTCCTTGTTACTTATCCTTCCCCTCTGGCAATTCGATCTTAAGTATTGACCTAAAAAAGACAGCTGCTGACGGAAGTTTGAAGCCTTTTGGTGATGGGCCATGTTTCCCGAGTTTGGGGGAGTAGGTAATTCCCATAGTGATTTCAGACTAGTGAAGGTCTGTCTCGCTTTTCTTAATCTGCTTTTGACATCTTTATCTGTACCATCTGCCTAGGTGAATAAAAGAGTTGACTTCCTTTAGATTTCTCCCCCGTTGATGGTGGTTGATGCTTGTTGTTGTTGGCTGGATATCTTCATGTTAAACGGTACGTAGTTACTTTAAATTCCTATATAATACTAACCAAGTTACTGTATTCTCATCCTCGTTGTTCAGTATATATTGTTGCTGAACACTATCATACCTAGCTTTCATTAATTAGCCTGAATACCTTTCAGAATCAGGTATGTAAATATGAGGATGATCGCACTTTATGACTAACTGCCAAGTGAACTGGTTTTTCACTTGTGATTTTCATATTCTGAAGTATTGGTTTTGTAGGGATTTTGTTTGATTGCATGGAGGATTTCATCATGAGCTGACATCAGTTAGAGAACCGCTGAAAACTGCGAATGGTCGCGCTATGTCGTGAATTGGCAGAAGTTAGAATTCATGGGTTGGCCATTAGATCAAGTTTCAGTGGCTTGCTGGTCTACGAGCTCACCTTATAACCAAAAGGTCCTGGGTTCGAATCCCTGTGGTGGGTGCGTACTGATGAGGAGTTCCGAACTGGGACAAAACAGCTGTCCAGTACTCCCAGGTTTTCTAGTGGTTCTC